AAAAAAAAAATCAAAATGATAACAAAAGATATGTCTTCTCACAGGTCAAATGGATCAGAGTTCTGTATACAGACTTCTCTATATTTTCCAAGGACCAGGAGCATCTAATATGTTCAGAAATGTCTTTTGATTATATAGAGGGGTTTGTCATAATAAATCGAACCGGATTATTGAACAATTGGAGATCCTCATTCAACGCCAAAGATCCTCTTCAAGCCAGCCAATTCAATTCAGAAGGAAGAATTCTATACTGCCTGGAAGTTGCCAAATACTTTGATCCAGGCAAATCTGATCTTGTTAATCAGGTGGGAAATTTAACAATCTTCCTTTGGATCATTTCGAGAACGGTGCAGGCGCTTATTTTTTTTCATCTATGTTTCTCATACACAGATCATTGACACCCTCTTATCAGAACTGAATTACATTCAGTGCACACTCTTTCTATCAGAAGTCTCTTATGTAGATTTCCTGGATAGAGTGCACGTCTCTGAAATAAAACTCCGGGAAAAAGGGTTATGGGAGGTTCCTCACCCCTGGTTAAATCTTCTTATCCCTAGAAGCGGGATTCACGAGTTTGCTCAAGAAGTCTTCGGAAATATTCTTGCAGATACCAGCAACGGTCCTGTACTCATTTACCCAGTTAACAAATCGAGGTACCACTCCAATCTTCTTACAGCAAAGAACATCTGTTTTCCTATATGTTACGTAATTTTTTGTTTCAACATGTTGTATCATAGATGGAGAAATAGGACTTCTATGGTTACACCGGACGAGGATGTTTTCTACCTAGTGGCATTTCTATCTTCTGCAACCCCATCGTCTACAGGAAAAGATGGGTTAGAACATATTTTAACACGAAACAGAAGAATTCTACGCTTTTGTGAAGCGTCCCGTCTTGGGGTGAAACAATACTTGGCCCATTATAGCACTCAGAAAGAGTGGAAAGCTCACTTTGGCACTCAATGGGAAGTCTTTTCTCAGCGAAAATCTAGATACGACCCTCTGGCAATCCTAGCTCCAGGTCAAAATATTTTCCAGAAAGCAAAGGCCTTCAGACAAGAAGGACCTCAAAGATAAAAAGCATTTAGTATATCGAGACTCGAGGCACATAAATTTTTAATAAGACCTCTTAAGAGTTAGTAAATTTGGAAATTTTGTACCTGTGGCTTAGTAATGTAGCAACATACATGTTGTTGCTAGTTCGAGAATTTCGCCAAAATGTACAGAGAAAAGTGCACTTGCGACATGATGATCGGAATATGAAGAATATCATACCCAAGCAAGAGTTGATGCTAAGTTACCCATAAAATGTCGTTCGTGGTTTCTCCTTTTGTGCACCAAGCGAGCATTCCCGCTACCCTGTGTCCCTGTCTGCATTTGACTCTTTATATGAAAAAAACAAGGAAAATATATCCGAGTAAAAGAATCATTTAATTTCTCAAAATAACAAGTTCCGCAGCACTGTTGTTTCCAATCATGGACGAGAAACTGCCAAGAAATCACGTACAAGTTGTTTGAAAGATTTATATAACTATTTCGCACGGATAGTCGCTAACAATTAAAAAGGGATCAGACGATTGTGTAAGGAACAAATCTCTTGAAACAAGTCCCAAAAGGGGTGTTTTATTGACGATGACTTTACAATTGGAACTTAAACAGAATGCCTCCAAGTGGCGCAAGCACACAAGTACTAAAAATAAATGTTTAAGTCTAAACTAAGAAATTGAAATTACATATTCTCT